GTTTTTAAATTTAACTTTAAATTATTTTTCTTGATTGTACAGTAAATTTTCTTAGTGCATTTTTTATTTAACATTTAATAAGTAGTGAATAAAATGCATTATAAATATTTAATAACATAATATTCTGCAGTTTTAGATAAAATATTATTATGGTACACTTTTCATTATAACAACGTAAAATTATTTAAACACTACACTCTATTTCCTAAAGAAAATAATATGTTATGATGGCACTTTAAAAATTACATAGTAAGAATAATTAGAAAATTTTTACATTCTACATCTAATTATACATACTACATATGGATATGTACGTATAGGCACATGTTATGTATAGTTATTTGTAAATATGTGCCCAAGTAACAATTTTCACAGTACGTAAGAATTATAGGGTTATAAATTTGTTCCATTAATATTTGGAAATTGCTACATAAAATTTATTTTCTTGATTAAATTGTATTGCATGTTAATTATAAAAAGTACGTGATGACATACTGTTGTTCGTGTTTTTTACCTCCTAAATCATCTCAAGAAAATCTGCTGCAGAGGCTACATGCCATTATTAACGTGTGTAGCTTTCTATTGTGATGCAGTTTTCTCAATCAATATAATATGTCTGTGTATGTTTCAGGCCTTCGGCGTTGATAATTTAAGGAATTTCATGTCTATTGAAATATTCCAATGAATTGTAAAATTTTTTTAGATTTCTAAAATATATCTGAACTTTGAAAAAAGTGGACTTGTTTGAATATCCCGAAAAATCCCTTTGGTTTTTAATTAATTTTGAAATTGTCATTAATTTTATTAGAAGCTCAAATTACTTCGTATTTGTTGTATATTTGTTTTTATTCTGTAAAATACAAAAATCCCTATTAAATATAAAAATTAATAGAATAAAATTTTTGAAAAATTATATTAAATAATTTTTATAACTGAAAGGCGTGTGGAACCTATTGAATACAAATGTTGAGGAAAGTACACGCGATGATTTTGGCATTTACCATTACCACAACTAGAATAAAACTTAAAAGTGATGGCATCACTTCATGTGATATTTGAATGTGATACAATTGACTAAAAGAATATGGTTGTATTTATAATAGCTGTGGAACCTGTTATAATAAGGAAGAGAAAGAATTGTTACTTGGTGTATGTTAATTATAAAAATATAAAAGAACTTAGATAAAAATCAATTAAATGTACATACATATAGTTACATTATATTAATACATATAAAATATATATAATATATATATATTATATATATTATTATATATTAAATATATATAATACTATTATATATATAGAATATATATATTATATATATTTTATATGTATATATATATAATATATATAAAAAATATTTAAAAAAAAATTTAATTTTGTTTTTTTTTTGTTTCATGTACTTTTTCCTATTTACACTTTTGTCAAACAATAGTCTTCACTTTGACAAAAGAGAAAATAATTATTACATATGTACGTACTATTCCATATTGTAAACAATGTGGAATTAAAAATATATACATACATACATGCATACATATACATTATGTATATGCATATGAATTTTATAATCAGTAATGTATAGGTATCAGTTATTAAGTATAACCTTATACAATTAAATATTATATTCTTATTGTTTTATAGCAGGTATTTAGCGAAACCACATAGAAAATATAGGGCTATTTTATAACAAAAACCAAAAAACAAACAAAGCAGTGAAACAATAAAGAAATTGCTTTCAAGTGAAAGATTTAAGTTAACATTTTTTTTATAACCCTATGTATAATAGTTAAAACAAAGGAAAGGAGAATAATATGTAAGTACATAATCATTATGGATGCTCTTCTCTCCTTAACTGTTATATTTACAATACAACTGAAAAACGGTATAATTTTTCTATAACGAAATTCAGGATTTATGCTCTAAGTCTAATTTATTGTTATACATTTTGACTTTTCTTTTCTATTTTATATTCTTTATGTGTAAAAAACCATACTATAGTCTACCTATACTCACATGTATGATAAGAATATTCACATATGATATGTATATACAAATATACATAAGTTTTTTTTTAAACGTTTTTTACATTTAAAATTTAAAAATTCTTTGCACATTTTTTTCTATATAAAAATATTACGAAAAAGAAAAAAATAAAATATTCTTAACCTTGTTGATATTTTTATAAGTTTGTATATGTGTATTTTATTTATGTATGTATGTAATGACATGTGTTTCTTAACATACATTATGTACATATGCATAAGTGTACATATATATACTTTTTATATACATTATTATGTGAAAATTTGTTTTGTAATTTTTGTACTACAAAGAAAATTTCTCTTTGGATCCAATTTGATTGAAAGTTTCTCCCTTATAATATGCAAGTAAAAAAAATAATTACAAGAATTTGGTATTTGTTTTTTTGATTTAATTTGGTATTAAATCGGATTATTAATTTTTTAATTAATTTATTTTTATTTATCAGTTGAAATTGTTAATCCAAAACAAAGTAAGTTTGCATCGAATTTAATATTAGTAAATTTTGACAAAATCAGATTTTTCTTAATAATTGTCGTGGGAATTGGGCAAGGATCTTCATGTTATACGGGTATATGTAAGTATGTATGTACAATATTTGTATTTTTCGTTTATACAAATACATAATAATTAACAATAATTAATTAATCCATAATAAGTAACAATAAATTATAATCCAAATTTTGTAGGAAATATGTAGGCATGATCAAATTTTATTGTGATAAAACAAAAAAACAAGATTAAACTTTAAAAACTCCACAAAAGTCCATTTTATATACAATTTGATTTAATGTCTCCTGAGCCCTCATTATACTGTTGCCTTGTAAAAAAATTGAACAGTTTCTAATTTAAACGTTTAACAAAATATTTTTTTCTTATATATTTGTGCTTCGTACTTATTTTTTGCCGAATGTTTTTGAGTAAAAATATTTTAAGTAAATTTCCAGTATAATATTTTAGGTTTTTCACATAATTATTATATAATATACTATCATATAATAGATGCACCTTGCAAACAATAAGGGATCATGTTAAACTGACCTTATGCAGTACGTCTCCAAAGTAGAATAAGTACAGCATAATTTTTAAATCAGAAAAAATATAAAAGAAATTGTAGAAAACATTGCTGGAATTGTAGAGTTAACTTTGTATTTGAATTTATTACCTGACAAGAAGACATTTATCTTAACTTATTTACTATCATAGAAATGTTATAAAACTTAAAGTTTCGCAGAAATGAATTGCTTAATATTGAAATTTTGCTAATTTGAACGGAATTATAATGGAATAAGTCGTGCTAAAAATTTTTCTTAATTGTTAAATGAAAACCAAAGCGGTTAACAGCAACGCCGGACGATTTCATATCTTGTATGGCAATAAAATAGCGTAACGGAAAAATCTTCAGTATTTTGTATAGAATGGCATTCACAACTTGAAACTGATGATATTAAAAAAAAACAATAGCGATAAAATGTGATTTTATTCTATTTTATCGTTTACGGTTAAATCCACGGCGTTAACTTTGCTTCACTCTGAACAGTTCCATGTGTATGTGTCTTCTATAAAAATTTTCTGTTGTTCTGTTTTCAAGGTAAAATCGAATAAATTAATTCATAATATCTAACAGGTTTAAAAGTTTAACAAGCCAATAACAAGAGGTTTGTTTAACCATTCGCAGTCTAATAGTAAACCGATGTTGAACGTTTATCAATTTTATTTCGCTGTGGAAGAAGCAAGTTGTTCTAATTCTACCTTTGTAGAATTTCAAAAAAATTTATGGTTTAACTCGGTCATAACTTTTAGGGAAAAGAGTGGGGGAAGGTACGCATGTAAATATGTTTTTCATTAAGTTTCATTAAAACTGAATATAAACTGGAACACGTGTATATGCAGCTACATTGTTACATACATACATATATTTCAAATATCTATTTTATATTTTACGTACATACATACATATTTCAAACGGAACCATGTTTATCTTAACATTTTTACATTACTATTTTAAGCCACCTACATACATACATATGTACATATAATACTGATATCTAATCTTTTACCTATTGATTTTGAAAATCTTTTATGTAATTAAAAAAATTCTACAAACTTTTATAAGTAAAAAACAAAATACGGAAAATACACGCGTATAAGCGTGTAATTTGAAAGTTAAATATCAGAGTACTTGCATATAATAATAGGTACCAACTTTATTTTTCCTAATATGTTTGTATGTATAAAAAAAATCTATTAGAAATATTTGATGCTTAAATAAAAAACCCTTAAGCCTGTTGAAGTGTGTAATAATAAGTATGTCTACTTGTTTGCCTTTTCAGACGAAATACCTGAAATTTAAATAAAAAGATTTTTTTATACCAACCATCAACTAACTACCTATTCATATACATATATTTTTTTTTTCTATGCTCAGTAAAAAGCCGCCAATAAAGCTTATTTAAAACTCAATAATTATTTTAGTTGTTGTTATTGTTTTTCTGTTATTTGCATTTTTAAGTCTCTTTATTTTTAAATATTTCAAAAATTTCTCAGAAAGCCAAAGCACACGAACGAAAGCACAAATATGTTTTTTTTCCTATTTTAATATTTATTTCTCTCTCTCTTATAATTTTTCTAATCTCATAAAAGTTTTTATTTTATTATACTTAATAAACTAAAATACTAAAAAAATTTTTGCTGTGTTTTTGTATGATAGACGTAGTATTTTGTACGTAATAATTTCAGTATTCTGTCTGAACCAGTATATAATGTATTTGAATTACTGAACTTGGTGTTTTATATTTAGAATAACCTTCATTTTTTTCAACTGTAAAAATCGTTTAAAATTCTAATTGATTTTAAAAATTGTTATACTATATACGCGAATTTAAAAAAAAAAAAAAACGTAATAATTATTATCCCTGCGTGTAAAACAATATTATTAAGAAAAAAAAGAGAATAAAATTAATTTTGTTTTTTTTTACTGTTTTTTTTTTCTTTTAGTTTTGTATAGTAACATTTTAAAATTGTGAATAATTAACTGATTACTTATTATGTGGTTCAATTTTAGTTATAAAAGTTTTGGACGAATATGAGGTAAGTTTTCAAACTCAATTACATTTAATTAGACATAATAATATACTTATGCACTTATATTTTCTTTTAAATACATACATATGCATGTTTTATTTGTATAAAGAGTTTAATGGAACATTTGTGATATTATTCACTTTTTTGATAACGTAATCAAAAATATTTTTGTATTAAAAAATTTGTGAATTACTCATTTCAAACATACATACATACTTATACGTAATATACATACTTATACATAGTATTTTTATTATAATATTGTGTATAGAAAAATATACTCATATACATGAAACGTTGGTATAGAAATATGAATTTGTGTATGTACTTTAATTTGGTTATCGATTACTAAAGTTTTTGCTTATTTTTTTAAATTTTAAAATATATTTTAATTTTACAACTTCTATAGTGTGTTCTTAGTATGTTACTCGTCTAGAAATTATGATCATAGATTATTCAGTGTATCAATTAAATTATTACAAATTAATATACGTGTTATATGTCTTAGAATAAGTAACACTAATAGTGAGTAAGACATTAAGGGAATATGTTTAAAATATAATAACAATATGTTCATACATATGTACTGAAAACTACTTATGTGGGTTTATTAATATCACGAAATGTGGTGGTAATTGATGCATTAAAAAGTAGTGGTTTAAAAATAATTTAAAATAATAAATAAATAAAATCTTAATACTTTTAATACATAAATTGATTTTATTAAATGTTGATATTGCTGGAAATCGGAATACGTTGGGTACTTAATACTATTGCACTAATTGATACAAAACAGTGTAATTTTACCATAATTATATAATTTGTTCTACACATATCAATTGCATATGTAATTATATGTATATGAATATGAATAAACATATGTAATTATATGTATATGTTAATATGTAATTTTGATGTTATTAAGAAGTGAATAACATGAACATATTATAAATTGCATGAAAGCATGTCAACGTAAAATTTTTAAATTACACCATTTTGGGACTTTTTCTCTGTAGAACAAAAAAAATTTACCCTGAACTATCGTTCTCCACTAAAAACCATGGCACATTTTTCTATTTCAAACTTATATTCCTAATTGTTTAGTCTGGTTTAAAATATTTAAGTTGCATAATAAAATTATTTGCAAATTATAAAATGTTATACGTAATCAAATAAGGCTTTTCTCCAATTTTATGAATACACACACTATGTATATTATAGAATATTAACAAATTATCTAAACACTTATAGTGTGTACAAATTGTGAGATGATTTGAAAAATGTCAATAATCATTTTGATATTTTTGTTTGTTGCCAATGTGACAGCTCAAATTGAAATTTCGTGAATAAAGATGTGATACGTAAGTGGAAAACAAGAAATGGTTGTTGTGTTGAATTTCATATCAATCCGAAAGCAAAATTAACAAAAAATATTTTTCAAAATAAGAAATGTTATTAAGATTGATTCTTTCGTAGAAATAGTGAAAACAAAAATAAAAGGCTCAACAAAATGTTTATTTTGTTTCTCAACAAAATGTTTATTTGTGCTCTTTGGTTTGTTAGTTGGCTCTCTTAATCCGTTAACGTTATTTAAAGGAATTTCCTTCCATTGAAATTTTCTCAATTTTTTTTTATTAAATCAAATTTCCATTGACAATAGAAAAAAAGCCTTAGCGTCAAAGTTGACTTTTTAGAGGCCTTTTAGTTGGCAATTATGAAAAAATTTATTAATTATACACATATGTATATCCAAAAACTAAAAATAAAATGATGTATCTATTATACACAGGATTTCAAATGACAGGAATTTTCTTCTTAACGTATTTGATTTACAAGAGCGTTTTATTGATTGCGCTTCTTGTAGCCACTTCAAAAATTTGATTCAACTTCAATGTAATAATGAGTTCCAACACTATTAAAAAGTTTTTTAAACTAAAGCAAACTATAAAAATTATAATTCAAACTTTAAAGCACTCAATTCTATCGTTGTGTTGGATTACATTTGAAAATTATAGCGTTTTAATATTTATATTTAAAGAAAATAGCTATTAAGATATTTTGTTCGTTATATTTTGTACAACGAGATGAAATAAAATGTCATTTCTTACACTTTTAGTACTTTTGGAAATATTATGACTTACAAGTCATTAAAAATTTATTGTGAGCACAATTATTTGAATTTAATATTTTTTCAACTAGTTTAGAATTTTGTTTTTTTATAATAAATTTAAAATTCCAACGAGAAATCAATGTTTTATGCTAAACAAAAAGCCACACTATTGATGAACTGAAATTAAAATTATATTATGGTTAATTTATTTTATGTTATCGTTTTTTGTGGAGTTATAATGGGTAGTTATCAATTGTTGAAAATTTGTTTTGCTAAAACAGTAATATACCAGACTGTTGTAGTAAGATTTCTTAGTTCTCTGGCGAAGAAAATCCAGTCTAAATTTGTTTGTTTTTTTTTTTTAATTAAAGGCGCCTCATAGTTCTAACGAGTATGTCTAACTAAACTGAATTATGACACTTTCATAGTTATTTAGTAAAACTTGTATTTTGAGAGATGAATAGAAATATAGTAATAAAGAATTGAAATAGATACTTTACCAATACTGGATTATTGATTATTCTGATAAACTTAAGTTAATAAATCTTGATTTTAACATAGTACCATAGAAAAGTGGGAAATTTGAGAGTCATTATGATTATGCAATTTAATCCGATTTCGGAAGCTTGTTACTTTATTAGAGAATTGTCTTTAAATGAAAATTGTTTTACAGATCAATTTCAGTTAAGGTGATATTTTTTAGTTTTAGTTTTAAATTAGAATTACAATTTATCACTTACATAGCCTAAAAGTTATATTTTAATCTTTGTATCATTTTGTCATATATTAACACTTATTAAACGAAATTTTAAAATCAATGATGAAAAAATTCCTGTTATAAAATCATTCCTTTCATATAATATGATTTTAACTACTTTCTTGAATCATAATATATTTGTATAGCCCTTAAAAAAGTATGGGGAAATCAATCTCCATCAAAAAGTTTTAAACATAATAAAATAATAAGAAAAAAAGATTTCGTACATATATTATCAAGCTATTAAAAAAAAAAAAAGTTCCTACAAAATTTTTTTCTCGAATTAACGAAATTCCACAGTTACCTTTAAAGTGCAGTTTACTACTCCATGTTACAACATTAGATAAATTTGTATGTACATCATTTTTTTTTGTTTTTCTTTTTGAATTTCTTATGGCAAATTAACTTTTATAAGGTGCAAAAACTCATCTTAAATATTGTGAAAAACAATAACAAGAAATGAAAAAATTCTAATTTTCACCGTAAGGGGCTGAAACGGATATGCTTTGAATTGATTTATGAGTTTTTGTAAGACAAAATTTGTTCAAGAAAAGTACTATGAATAATTTAATTATGAGAGAAAAACTTACGGGAGAGAGAGAGAGAGAGAGAGAGAAAGGAGAAATTTATTTTTTTTTTATTAAAAAGCTCTTTCTCTCTCCCTCTCTCTGAATGTAATTAGGTGTAAAATTAATTAAAACTTAATTTAAAAACTTATTTTCAAGGTTAGCAATTTATTCAACTTTGAAATAAATTATCATTTATCCATTTAGGAAATGAAACAAGGGAGTTAGTTGCAAGCAACAAATAAAATGTTGCTTTCGTATTTTAACGATGATCTTTATTTCAAAATGGATTTTAACGGTATTTCTTTTAAGTTTCAGTATTTCGTGAAAATTTGAATGTTTATTTTTTTAACGAAATTCAGCACCGGTGCATAAAATAGAGACATAAAAGCATTTTAACTAATATACTTTTTATTAACATTTTTAAATTAAATTTCAAAAATTGTCTCTGGATAAAAATTTCAATGCCTATTTTGATAAATTTTTTGGATTAATTTCAATACTCTTATGAATCATCATAATCACTTGACCGAAATATTGTGTAATTATTATAGTAGGAATAGATTAATTATAATACTCTCATAAAGTAGGCGTTGATTGTATATAATAACTGTTAAGATATCAATGGTATCGACTATTTATAAATATATTGCATTTACTACTATCTTATTTTATTTAACTTGAAAATTATTTTATTGATAATAATTATGGGTTGTGTTGAATCAATTTAGTGAATATTAAGATATTCTGAAATTTTTTTTTCTTTGTGGTAAAAAGAGAAACGCAAATTATAAATTTAGATACGCACATACATATTAATTTTAACATATAAATTATACGTGTTATACATAGTATAACATTTTTCATCCCTGTTTATTCATTCTGTATTAAATAAAAATAACATAACATTAACACGAATATGACGAACACAAAACAAGGTTTCCTCCTATATTAAATTTATTTCTCTTTCAATTTTTATACTTCAATATTTTTTTTTTTGAAAAGACATAAAGAGATATTTAAATTTTTTAAGAGAAAAATTGTTTTTCTTTAATAGTAACATGTTGTTGTTTGCTGTTGTTATTCTTCAAGAACTTTTTCAATTTAAAATTTCTGTTATACATAATATGTTATATTTTTGCTTTTTATATGAGAAGATATTTTAATTTTGAAAAGTTGTAATGAAATTGAATCATTTTTAGTTTTTTAGTATGAATTTAGCAATCAACGCGAATAGGAAGAGTGATTAAGAGTGTAATTACGTTATTTGATAGTTTGATTTGGACTAGAAAAATAAAATAATAAAAACAAATTGGAATAAATATACATACATATGTATGAATGTATGTATGTACTTTTTATTATGTGCTTATTTTACCAGTTAATAAAATAAAGTGGTATTGCAATTTTATATTCGTACATAATATCTATTTAAATAATTTGAATTTTCGAATTGAGTTGAGTAATTTGGTACACAATTACGTATTATAATAAGTGCCAGTTCAAAATATATGTATGTATATATACATAAGTAAAAAATAAAATATATATAAAAAGAAAAGTGAAAATTTGA